CGCTTCCCTAGTTAGAAACGAACAACGCTTTTAGAGTCGTTACTCACACATATTTCAATTCTGACCATATAATCGATTTCTGTGTAGTCAAAGTCTTCATGGCATTTTAAGAAACAAGAAAGAGTTTCACAAGCTTACGAAATGTCCGTGAGTAAGAAACGAGTACTTACCAAACGAACAACGCTTCATTTTTTTTTTCGGAGAAAACGGAGAACGCTTCCCTTTGTTGTTAGAAACGAACAACGCTTTTAGAATCGTTACTCAAACATATTTCAGTGACATTACTAAAATTTCGGGCAACATGACTCAGGTTTCGGGCGACATGACTTCGGGCGAGATGACTCTCGGGCGACTTGACCGGTTACCTCTCGAAGACCTTGGTCACCTCTTCTTTCACTATCCCGATATAATTTATTTCGCAAAGTAGTAATGTCAAAAAAATTACCGTTTCGCGGAATAAACTATTTTCACTCAGTGGTAACGACGTTACCATTCTCGTGTCTTGCAATAGGATTTAGTTTGTAGGTTTTAATTTAACGTATCATCAAATTCCAAAGATCTAAGCTATCTTCACCTTTATAGACGTCTTCTAAGTGTATTTCGCGGGGCAATAATTTTGAAAGAATTGCTGTTTTGCAAAATGGCCCATAAATTATTTAAATGCCTGACTCGTGACAGATTGGGTCTCAACTTTCCTTGTACGTAAGTGTTTTAATTAGCTGTGGTCTGTACTTCTTCACTGCCAAGCAACAAGACGGTTTTTTCCTCTCCTCAGCTTCAAATGATTAAGTAAAAGCCAATTAATAACTCCATCTCCATAAAAGTTCAACAAGAGGCTTGGGCTAACAGGTTCATTTAGTCATAATCGACAACTATGTAGTACCGTATTGCGTGACGCCGAAACCAAGTAATAGAGCCCCGCTGAAGGCCCAAACTGAGGTTGTGTCCAATTAATGACATGGGAGGGAGTGGAAAATAAGAGGTAAAAGCTGGTTTTTACTAGCGACGGAGCCGGAGTTAGAGTCGCAATCAAAATCGCAGAGCGATACGACATAGTGAAATAAAAAATGAAAGAAAAACCAGGTGCAAGTCCGGAGACAGGTTTTTGCGCGGGGAGTGCGTTTGAGAGCCAGAGGCGTAATTTGACCAGCGCCGGAGGTGCAATATTCAAGGGGGGCGGGTGGGGGCATGTTCTCCCGTGAGATTTGAAAGACTCCATTTCGTGCGTTTTGAAGGGTGTACACTGTTTCGGTGCAAAACCAAACATGACAGTTTTCCAGTGGCGACTAAACATGTTTAGACTCTTCGTCTCGTGTGGAGAACAGTAGCATATCCATGCCGACATAGTCGTCCAGCAGTTTTATTATCGCAAGTACTACAGTTACTTTGCTTAAAACTTTTTAATAAAAATAATATACATGGAAAAGTTACGCGCTTCTGATTACGCATCCGTCGCACACCCCTTCCTTACGAGCAAGAGATCGTGTTTCACATTTGCGCAAGTTCCACGTGTTGCAAGAGGTTTGCTTTGTGCTCGCTTTGTGTGTTGTTTAATCAGGCAAAATTATGGCTTTTAAATTTCCTGTTCTTAAGCCCAAGACCATCGACTATTCAGGTCTGCCAGTTCTCGATTTCAAGTGTTTGACATACAAGGAAATCATTGGTAAGGAAATAGCCCGCGAGCTTCTAGGCTCCGGGCATGATGGGAGAAGGATTATAGGTCTTTTAGATTGTACCTCTGAAGAGCAGTTTGATAAGGAGCTGAAGGTTACTAAGCGCCAATGACCAGAGGCATTTACCGAATGGGTTCACTCAATTGAAGGTCGTCTTTGACCTTTATTTGCGAGAATGCATGTTACGACCTGTTCGCGTTGCTGCTGGCCTTGGAAATCCGCCAAAACAAATGGCAAAACCAGAGAACCGAGGCATACAACACAGTTATAAAAGAGGAGATTTTCAGACAAAAACTGATCAGGTGAGAATACATGATCTCATTGAGTAACGCGTAGTGCTGCCTTATTTAGACGAGCTGGTCAAAGTCATCTATCAGATGGGAGAATATCGTCTGTCCGCAGACTATAATCACCTTGAGGTGGATCCATTGCAGTGGACACAAATGACATGTCATCAACGCGATGACACGCCTTGTCGAGTGCCAGCCGGCTCTCATTACAATTTACTTCATATGAGCTTAAAGATATATGGAGGAGGGCGGAAATTATACTGTCGCATTATAAGATCATAGAACATGCGAATACAAACTTCTGCGTCACCGAATTCGATACCAGTTACACAGTAGAAACAAAGAACGAGAAGATATCGTGCGACAAGACCTGAAAATCTTTTCGTGATAGTGGTGGTTTGTGCCCTCACGTCCTTGTTGTCGCAGGGAAGACTGGTAGGCTGCGAAGTTTCATCGCCACTCACAAGAAAGCTTGTAACAAAATGGGAAAGATCATCAGCGCAAACCTCTCTAAACAGCTTGGGGGAAAGCCGAATCAACGAGCAAAAAAAAGAAGAGGGAAAAATAACGTAAGCCACGTGCCAGTCGTGTCAGAAGAAGACCCCTATGACGTTATGGTGCCAGAGTCCATGAGGTACATCGAGTACTACCAGAATGACGAGCCCTTTTATGTAGTGTTTACTCATGACTACTCGAATACAATAACATGCACCGGTTACACAAATGAGTTCCCCAAGAGAATACAGATAGCGCCCTACAACATTGTTCTACTTCACGAGGAGCGTTATCGCTACTTAAAAAAGACGATAACGGCAATGTTGAAATGGTCGTAACGCATAAAAAAAAGGTGATAAGAGCTGTATCCTTCAAAGGCACCCGTATTTCTGGAGAGGCTTGATAACTGTCACCAAAAGTGTAAAGCAGCGTTTGGAAGACGGTCGCAAGGATTTGCTTCTTGCAATGTTGAAGTTTGAAATAGGCGAAAATTACACAAAGACTTAATTCAATAAATTAATAGTATTTCAACTCTTGTTTCCACATCAGTCTATGTAGTCGTTACAGTAGAACCCAGTTCTGGGTTTCCAGCAAATTTGCAATTTTTAAAGCTTATGTAAATCTTTTATTTAATCAAATATGTACTGCTAACAATAGAATGGCAATATTTTTCATCATAGCGTAAAAATAATTCATTTCGTGAAATAGCAATTCTTCCAAAATTACTACTTGACGAAATAAATTTTAATACGGTTTAGGAAATAAGAGGTGACCAAGATCGGTAATATACCATAATATAATGTTTAAAAGTAAATTTTTGACCCGAAAAGAAAGACACTGATGTTATTGAAGGATAAAAATATTCCGTTTCGCAAAATAGTGTATCTCCAAACATGACTATTTTGCAAAATGTATCTAAATACGGTTTATGAAATAAGAGGAGGCCAAAAAATTAGTGCGTCAACCAAATACATGTTGTGTGACAGGAGAATAACAACATCGTTACTGCCCGCTGAGTGTAAATAGTCCATTTCGCAAAATAGTAATTTTTCTGACGTTACTGCTTTGCGAGATTAATTTTGTATGGATAGCTAAAGAGGAGGTGACCGAGATCTTCGAGAATATACTACAATGTAATGTTTAAATGTATTTTCGTGACATGAAAGAAGTCACGTTGTCACCGCAGGGTGAAAATAGTCTATTTCGCAAAATAGTAACTCTTTTTAAATTATTATTTTGCGAAATATATTTTAATACGGTTTATGAAATAAGAAGAGCCCAAAATCTTTGATGCTATACTAATTTGTGATGTTTAAATGTATTTTCGTGACATGAAAGAGGTCACGCTGTCACCGCGGGGTGGGGGAGCGGGGAGCTTTCCCCCTTAAATTTTTGAGGTTTGATCATTATTTGAATATATATTTATATTTGATGTTTTATTTGACGTAAGGATTACTAAAGACTCGAAGGTCACGATGGTGGACTTTCATGAAAATAGAAACGTATCATAAACATGAGTGCAAGAGAAGAGGCAAAAGTAAGCAAGTATACTCACAGATGAAACGTTCCCGCGGGTGACTTTCCATTGGTAAAGGAGGGGGATTTCTGTCATAGAATTCTGCAGTAACCCTCCAAAGGAGACGAATCTGGACGTAGCTCGAGGATAATAACCCTTAAAAGACGACTGACAATTGGACGTTAAAAGGGCGACGTAAAATTCCGCTCCTCTCACTAAAATTAGACTACCAGAACAGTTCCACGATACTTCAATCACGTTTAGGCCCAACGGATTAGCTGCCGTTTCGCCGCAAGTGACCATCGTCCGTATGTCACCCTCTCATAATCACCCCCAGCCTCCCTTCCCGGGAGGCTCTTTAAGTGCTTTAGCTTCTACAGAATGGTTTAATAGGATTGGCTTTGCTCACATTTAATAAACACCGAATGTATTGACGCAGTAAGAGTAAGCCCAAGACTAAGTTGCTATTTTGATCTAACACTAAATTCTCAGAACTGATTTGCATGGAAAGCGTTGCAGCTAGAGGGGAGAATTAACAATCAGTTCTTGGGAGTTAACGGGTCAACTTTCACATATAGCTCTCATCAGGAGTGGAGGGTCTTCATGCAGTACTCGCGTCCTATTTCTCGTTGTTAGAAGAACAAAGCACTCCAAGATGTGCCCTCGTCAAACAAGTACCTGAGTTCAACGTCAAGGTGCTGATTTCTCTGTTAATATACTGTTAGTTGGTATTTAATTTCAGTAATTGTCAGTTGAAACATGACCTTGCTTGTGATGAACATCTTTGTTGGTGATTGAAACTTTGAGCACTCTTTTGGAGGAGGAGGTGGTATTCTGTTGGTCATATATACCAGCATGGTCTCAAGAGGAGTTTGTTGAAAAAGGGAAAAGATTCAAGCCTCCTCTGTTAACCCTTTAAAAATTCCACTAGTGACCAAGACATAATTTCCCCTTACAATATCAATAACATATCCAGCAACAAGTGATGAGAATATAGAACAATATGAATTGGGGGATTATTAGTTGATCCAATATTGAATTCTCTGAACTAACATAATAAGAGTTGTATGGAAAACAGTAAGTGGAATTACTATTAAGGCCTGAGCTTTACCATGTAAGCAGAGATAACCACACAAAGTCTACTTAAAATAAACATTACTTGTTGAGTTACAATGTAAGACAAAAGAACACGTTGTCAATAAGATTTTATTATTGTTCAAGCAGGCATTCAGTCATAGCTTGGGAACTCAAATGTAACATCCTTGCCTGTGAGCTTCTTGTACACTGAGGAAAAAGTGTCCACCTGACAAGCAATAAAAATCACAATTACCATTGCTACTGACAAACCAATGAGGGAACAAACAATTTCTCTTGGAGCACATCAGAAGATTTTAAATTAACGCAAGGGATGATAAAACAAATTGAGAACCCATAGGAATCATGATCATTAAACTTTGTTGAATTTCTTCTTTTCTGTCTCATTACACACGTAGGATGCCAAAATGTTATATCACTGATAATACACAACTTTAAGACTATTTCTAAGCTGGAAATTTGGTCAGTCTTCTATTACTAACCCATTGATTCCCTTGAGTGACCAAGACATAATTTCTCCTTGCCATATGAACACAATATCAAACAGACAAGTAATGGGAGTAAGGAAAAACAAAAATTTGGAGATTATTGGTTGATCCAATACAAAACTCTCTGAATCACCATCAAAAGAATTGTGTAGAAGACATTACGGAGAATTACTAATGGTGTTAAGGTTGGTCATTTCAGTCCTTGATTAATCTAATTTTAAAAAAAGATCCCCTCAGAAATAGTTGTAGCCAACTCAATCATAACTTTATGTCAGATTGGGGCGGCATCTTCTATCATCACTAAGGAATCAAGGAACACTCCCAGTATGTATATGATAATGTTGGGCACCACTAAGCCAAAGTTTGACTCTCACCTTGTGTTCCACGTTTGTTTGCTGCAGTTTGTCAAGGTGTCTGAAAAGGGGAGAATTATTAGAAGACTGTCAGTCTTTGGTCGGCCTAATAGTACTTGGAAGAGAGAAAGATCACAGAAACACAAGAGCAACCAACCTTTTCCAAAGGAGCTTGCTATTTATTTGCATGCATAAAGGACTTTCAAAGGCTTTTAAATTGACAAGCATCAGAGAAAAAGAATGTAGTGGCAGAATGAAGCCATCTGATTATGCTACTTTTTGGTTTGAAGATGTGCAAATTCACCATAGAAATTTGGGCATATACTGTAACATACTAAAATACAAAACACTAAGTTGCACTCACACTTTGATTAATTTTGAACCATCCAGTTTCACTCTTGTCCTCTTTCCAACTATTTCACTTGGGTAGACCAGTTCTTCAAGGATGGCATCGTGAACAGCTGTCAAAGTTCGACTGTTTACAAACAAAACACTTGAACTCAGAGACAACACAAAATAAAAGTACTTCCTCAGTGACCAGTATAATCTAATTAAATAAAAATTTTGATACCACATGTTGGCCATTAAGCCTATCACATACATATTGTCTCTCATGGTGTCAATCGGACTGGAGCAACAACAGCTAATCCTTAGCGTCATGCCAGTAAAGCTTTCTTAAACCCTTTAATCCCAAGATCGAATTCATTCTCCTCTTTGGCTGCTACACATTTCCTAATAAATTAGTTACAAGAATTTGGTGTTTTATAATGAAAATGTCTTCCTGATCAGCATAAGTATTCTCATAACTTGTTTGCTGGATGAAGTGCAGATATTAAAAGAGAAGTTAGATTTCAATCACTTCTGTGGGTTAAAGGGTTAAGTCAAGAGTGGTGAAATGCAACTACCGTGGGAAATTACTGTAGCCTTACCTTCTTGGCCTCTTCTGTTTTTGATTTCTTGATTTTCTTGTTTGTCGTGGAAGGATTCTCCTCTGCAAGGAAAAATAGGATAAATTTTTAAGGATGGCTCTCCAAACAGGCTAAAGTGTAGATTAAGAAAATTCTGTATTCATTAACTGAGATAAAATTTCACCAAAAATTAAACTTTTTGGCAGATACCCAGTAATCAAGTACTAGTTTAGAAACATCATATAATAACTATTAGACTTCATTCTGTACAAACAACAGCAACAACAACAACGACAACAAAAACCAAAATTGGCCAATATCCAGCCACATTGATCTTAGCCTTGGTCAATAATGTATATGTAAACAACCTGCTGAACCAAGCTGTGTTCCAGGGTTCAAAATAATTTTTCAGCTTTCAGCGTGAATTTGTAGGCTTTTGCCAAGGCTCATTTTTTCTCCCCAACTGTCACTAGTAAATTTCAGCATCAGAATCTTTTTTTTGATCAGCATGTTTTGTTGTGGCAATTCCTTTCCCAACAAAGTGAAGTGAATGGCTCAATTTTTTGGTGTTTGTTCAAATGTGAAATATACAACTTTGTCTCGACAAATTGTCACACTACTGTCAAGTATCGACTTTAATTTGAATGTGTGAGAAGGTTTTACAAACGACATTAAACACGATTTGGCAGAAAATAAATCTTGATTCAAGATTGTATGTATGTGCAGAAATATAAAAATGGTAATATGATGGTGTGTACACAAACTTGCATGTTTCATGCTTGAACAAATACATAGAAATCTGAATACTGTAAACAAAAATACTCTCAGTAGCATGCTTCAAATTTCGAAACTTTATACTTGTTTACATTTCCAAAAAGCTTTTCAAACATTTCTTGGCTGCCTTATTGCCTGATATGAAATGTTCACCATAACATGACAGCAACTTTACTTCAGTTGGACAATCATAAGCATAATATTTTTTATAAAATTTTAGTTCTTTGCTGAAAAATCCATGGCAAGTGTGCTAAAAGTTTCAGCTGCTGCTAGCAGCTGGCTGTTATTTTGAACCCTGGTGTTTTGATAAGAATTACAGGAGTACCAAAAAGAAACTGAAGAGTCCTCCTCCTAACTTTCAAATAAATCAAGTTGTGAAAACTGCCCAATGATTAACAGTCATTTCCCAAAGGCAGAGTGAATATTGTCACTTAATTCAATGGTCATAAAAATGTTGAATACCAAAGGGATGTAAAAAAAAAAAAACCACACAATAAAATGGAGAAGGAAGAGTCAAACATTACAAACCTGAGCAACAATGACAACATGCCTTCCACTGAACTTCTTCTCAAGTTCACGTACTAGACGGGTCTTTGAGAAAATAAAAGGCAAAGTATTAATTAGAAAGAGTCCAGAAGTCAATGAAAACACTACAATAAAATTCTCTAATGACAGCTTTCATCAGAACCTTTAATTTTCTTTCTCAGGTTCAGACAATTTAGCTCTCATCAGAGGGCTCCTCTCAGAAATATTTGTCATCTCAATCAAACTTTAAATCAGACTGGGGCGACATTTTCTTTCATCATGGAGGATTCTGGTGAACAGGATATTGTTTGTGCAGTGTTATTACCAAAATCACAATACCCTGCCCTAATTCAAGGATGCTTTTATGTTCATGATACAACACATGATTTTAAATTTCATTAAGTGTTGGAGTAATACTTTCCACTGTTTGAAAGCAGCATTATACCACCATTCTCAAAAGAAATCACAGACAACAGCAAACTATTACAAATAATTGACAGGGACAGATCACAAACTTTATCACACCAATTGTGATAAAGGATACCATAATTTCCAGCCATTGACTGCATACGGTGAAAAAAAAAAAGTCAATAGATTACCCGCACTGGTGGATAACCTGCATGTTATGTTATTCAACTTTTTGTGGCAAAAACATGACATTAATGTGGTACAATTCAGTCTTTTAATAGTTGTCTGATCTAACTTTCAAAAACTTGAACACTTCTTTGTTGAGTTTAAGGTCAAAGAAATTCAGACATGTGCACAATTCTGTGTCAATATTAGCATGTACTTTATCACTAAAATTATGCAGTAAAAACACTAGCAGCCCATGCCCAAATCTCAACGTTTCATACTTGACAGAATGCGAATTTGTGGCCAAATTTTGTATGAGCGATCGTTCAGAGCAATTTTGATTTGTTCAAAGAAAGCTGGGTGAGTGTTGAAACTTGAATTATAAAGTACTGTCAGCGATTTCTGAAAAAATAGATATCTCTGGTTCTATTAGGCCTAACAAGTCCCTTAAAACAGGAAAGTTCTCTTTAGCTCAAGCTAGTGTTAAATGGAAATTTGTTATTGATGTGCTGGATATCTTTAAATTATTTTTGTCACCATCATGGTTTTGTTTTCATGCGTGCTGATAACAATTTGTTCATCACACAACTAATTATGCATGAAATAAATTTGAGTCGTAATCATGTTCTCATGCTGCTTTGTGGCAATCTTAATACAATAAAATTCAATTGAGAGGTGGAAACACATGAAGGTGAGAATTTTTTCCAGTTCAACTACCAGTAGATTTTAAAATTGTCACATAACCTGCACCTCCCTATTACCCTCAGTGGTGTGTGTTTAACGCAAAATCAACAGATTGCCCATGGGTATATGGCCGGAAATTATGGTAATTAAGTATTATTAACAAGTTGATAATAATAATTATTAATAATATTTATATATATTTATGTATATCTATGTATATATATATATATATATATATATATATATATATATATATATATATATATATATATACACACACAATAAAATTCAATTGAGAGGTGGAAACGCATGAAGGTGAGAATTTTTCCAGTTCAACTACCAGTAGATTTTAAAATTGTCACATAACCTGCACCTCCTTGTTACCCACAGTGGTGTGTGTTTAACGCAAAATCAACAGATTACCCATGGGTATATGGCTGGAAATTATGGTAATTAAGTATTATTAATGAATTGATAATGTAAATTGGCCACCCTACATAGTTTCAAAGCTAGCTTTACATTATCAATTCAATTGGCAATGCTAAATCACCCTGTTAAAGTCTCCTACCAATGCAGCACCACAATTTATTTAGAAACTTACCCCCTTTACTCAATTATGATAAAGGTTGTATCTGTTGCAAGAAGAACCTTGCCCTATCTCCTTGAGAGGGTAAGGTTGCTTCCTTCACATTTCATCAAAGATTTTAGTTTTCCAAATTGTAAAAAGAGTTTTACCTTCAAGTCTAAGAAATCACATTGCTGTTATAGATAGCTAAGAGCCTTTAAATGACACCTTTTAAATGCCTAACTTTAACAAAAATGCAAGTAGATCATGCATAGTAGAGAAACACACTGATTATTACTATCCTTTAGGATTAAATTATTTGAATTTAGGGGCAAGTTTCTTAAGAAACTTTGGTGCTGCATCAGTGAGGGTATAACAAAATAATTTGGTTTAAGAGCCTTTAAATGACACCTTTTAAATGCCTAACTTTAACAAAAATGCAAGTAGATCATACATTGTAGAGACACACACTGATTATTCCTATCCTTTAGGATTAAATTATTTGAATTTAGGGGCAAGTTTCTTAAGAAACTTTGGTGCTGCATCAGTGAGGGTATAACAAAATAATTTGGTTTTCATCAAGTGAGTTTAAAATGTATCTTAGCCACTGTTAAGAGTTTATAACGTTGATGTTTCAAGCATTAGCCCTTCATCAGAGTGAATGGCAAATTTGCTCATGAATGGCTTTAGAAAAATTTTTGGCAGTAAATTTTAATCATTGATTCAGTTGATAAAACCAAAATGGCTTTTGAGAAAAATTGTTGGGAGAGATTCTTATATGCTTTCCTTGATAAGGGTAATTTAATGTTGTCAACTGAGTTGATAATGTAAACTGGCCACTGTAAAGAGTTTAGAGGCTGACGTTTCGAGTGTTAGCCCTTTGTCAGAGTGTTAGCTCTTCCCAATTGCTCTGATGAAGGGCTAGTGAAGGGCTAGGGCACAAAATGTCAGCCTTTAAACTCTTCACAGTGGCCAATTACCCTGTTATACTCTCCCACTGACGCAGCACCAGAGTTTCTTTTAAACTTTACCCCCTTTATTCCCTGATAAGGGACAAGCACTTGATTCTTTCCAAAAACATAAGGCTACCACTCTCACATTTAGTTGCAATATATAAAATATGATGTTTAACTACCTGGATCTTCTGGAAGGATCTGATTTGTGGTACAGGTACGAAAATGACTATAGCTTTTCTTCCTCCAACATCGACTTCCTGTAAAATTATTCAAGACTGTAAGTAATATAGAATTTTTAAGACGTCTTACGTGTAATTCTGTGCTCTTATGGTAAGACACAATCGTGATAGTGAGTAGTTACTAAAATTTAACTTGACATACCTTCGCTCCAGAGATGTACAGTTCTCGAAGCTGCGACTTGAGATCGGTAGAGTTCAGTTCTAACTCGAGAAGAGCCTATGAAACGAATGAACACAAGGTTTTTCCCACGTGAGCAGACATACACAAATTAAACTACTAAAAATTGTGCTCCTTTCATTCGTTAGTTTTAAGGGTGAAAGTTTAGTTAGAGAAAGTGAAGATAGTACCTCTGATACGCTTTTCTCCAATTCATTTGGCTCGCCTGTTCCTGACGGCTTGACTATTTTTTGCGTTAGCATAGCTGATCTAAAAATGACAACTCAGTTACGCCAACGGAAAATAGAGTGAGTAAGAAGAGCCATCGGAGAATAATCGTGGCTCAATCTGAGATTTACAGAGTTAAAAAGTCATACAAGATACGTAAAACTATTATTTGTCAAAAACTAGGGCTAGAATATAGCAATCTTTCACGGAATATCCTGTACTAACCACTTTCTTGTGAAGGCAGCCGAAGAGAGGCCGACATGCGCATAGCCTCCTCAATTAGGTGTTCGAAGCGCAAGTCCTTACAAAGAATTCCGCTGACCGGCCTCTCGTTCTTGTTGTTGTTCTTCTTCCCCCAGCAGCACTTCTTGCAGACTCACCGCGGGAATTTTAAAGCAGAAAAGAAGAAAAGAAGGCGAAATGGGAAACACGTTAAGCAAACTAAAAAGTTTTGCTTCATTTGTAAGAATTGCTGTCACTCTGCTCACTTTCTGAAAAGGAGATGAATGAAGAAGTTGAAGGTTTGTAGCGTTGCGGTGTTGTTTAAATTTTCTTTTTCGTGTGTGCGTGTGTGCAGTATTTCGGTTCCTACTTTGCACTGCGAGAGGAAGAAAGTACCAGGAATTAATTCCAGTATCTCTTTATGGAAGTCTCTCCCTATAGTTTCTATTGTGTTTCAAAAAATGCTTGTCCAACAGCCCTGAGTGGTCCTAAGTGCGAAGGTTATCAGGTCGAGTGTCAAAATTTCGAGGGGCACTCACTGGGTATCTGAAGGCCTTAAGTATTGCCTTCTTAATAGATCCAAAACTGATCCAAAAGCAAAATTTCTTCCTTTAAATAATCAGAGAACTTTAGTGTAGAACTCTTTGAGACGTGGACGGCGACCGGAAGACGAATTATACTAATTCTGGGGCACTTCGACACCAATGTATCGATCACAAGGTCACATTACATGTAGGTCTCAAGAATAAGGGGAGTGGTTGCAAATTTAAGATGCACTTGAGTATAGAGAATTTCCCTTTATTAGTACCATTGAAAATGTATAGAGAACGGTTTGGAGATTATGCACACTGATAATAAAATGGAGAGGGTTAGATGATTAATTTCCCAGGACTACTGGATCCAGCTTTATTCTTTGATTTCTTTTCATACATTAACTCTAGATATGAAACACGAATATAACTATAACAACGAGATTTGATGCTTTTTTCAATATTTTGTGCGTATAAGATTAACAAATTGTTGTGAATTGTAATAGAAAATGCAACACTGAAATATATGTTAAAAAACATGTTCAAATTTTCCAGCTGAAGATTAAATAATATTCTATTTAAACTGATTCATTCATGTTGCATCCTTGCTGTTATTGTGAAAAAGATGAAGTCATGCTTATGGCAATTAACTCAACTGAATCTTGTCTTCAAAAGATAGTGACTAACATTCAAATACCAAAACTTATGAAGTTATTAAAAAGACAGTGACCAAAATTAATGCAATTTTGCCATAATAATAACCCTGTTATAAATTCTAAGTTAACTCTTAACTCACTCACAAACTCAACTTACTTTTGATTTTTCATGATGGGCCTGAAGGGGAAAAATTAGAAATGGGACTTTGGATAACTTTGGCCTAAGAATGGGATCCCTTCCTTCAAGACCGTCCCCTCTGATAGCAAACAAAAAAGAAAAAACACAAACAAGCAAACAAACAGAAGCAGAGGAAAGAAAAGGAGAGAGAAAGGGAGAGAGAGAGTGGGGAAAAAGAAAGGAAAAAGTCAAGACCAGCTATCCTACAGCAGTTCATCTTATCCACATTTTATCTAAAGTTGAAAAAATGCATCATGAGTGGTACCCAAACTGGGAAGAGAATTCTCACACAATTGTATGTGCAATTGGGTGGAACAACTGATATGTAAATGGAATCCCCAACATACATACCACAGTCACATTCAACATGCAATATGCACATAATAGTGTAAAGAAGAAAAGTACTTTTTTTTAGAAACAAGCTACACATGGGTAGTTCTGAAGAGGATTGCAGAAGCAAGTACAATGCTTTTCTCCAAAAAAGTAACACCTAAGTTCCCCCTTCTACAAATTGGGGGCTTCAATTACCCCCTCATAATTTCCAGTCAACCTCCAAAGAATGGACAAGATTATTTCCTCAACCTACTCCTTCCATAAAAATTTCTCCATGACCTGATTCTAATGGCTTGATCTTGAATCAAAACCTGTCATCTCATACAGTGCCCAAAATCCCTCAAAGTATAGAAACAAGTCAGAAAAGGTTCAACATTTGAGTGTTGTTATATTTAAATGCAGCAACTACAACATCAAACTTGTCCAATAACAGAAAATATGATAATTTAGAATTGTCCCAAAACTAGCTATTTTCATGAATTTGTGGTGAAGATTTACTTCACATCCATTACTTTAATGAGAAGCATGAAATCTTGTTCCCCTGAGTATGAACTGAACATGTGTTAGAAACAGTTCCACTCTTATTGCCATATTGTGGCATTGTTTAATTTTGTGAAACTGTTAAGACAATTAAAAGCACAGTCCTGAAATTCGAATGTCACAACAAAGAGCAAGATATCTTATTCTTTTTGCCCTTTGTCCTCTGCTTGTTTGGTTTAAGTGTGATAATATCTCCAGTCTCTACTTGTTGTGTTGCGCGTGCATTGTTGTTTCCACCTTGTGATGCATTCACTGGTGAGGTTGAATTAAACATTCCAGCAACTGTGAAAGAGAATTCAAAGAACATCATTAAATGCCCTTACCACTGGTAATACAAATATGCTCATATCCTGCAATGTCAAAAGAATGCATACAGTGAGATTTTTCTTTCAGTCTGAACACCATTAAATTTTTAATACCTAGCTGGTGGGAGCTCTACAAGTTGCCCAATTTACTCCCACAATCTAAATATTTGATATCCTTGCTGTCTGCCTTACATTTCATAAATTTTTAGATCTGAAAAATGCCTGGGTAGCTTTCATTACTCACATGCACCTAGTTATGATTATCATACGTACATGCTTTTAGAGCCATCAGGTTGTATTGTTCATACTTGACCCTTTCTTAAATTGTCAACTTTCTTGGCATCGAGTGTATGCCAGTGTGTATGCTATTGTTTATACCAACGTGTATACGAAAAAAAGTGAGCATGCTTAACCCGTAAACTCCCATGAGTGACCAAGGCAGAATCTCTCCTTATAATATCCATACAACATCAAGCAGATAAGTGATGAAAATAAAAAAAAAATCGTTTAGGGGATCATTAGTTGATCTAATACCTTATCCTCCAAACTAACATCATCATCATTGTATGGCAGACAGTAAGGATAATTTACTATAAGATCTTGGAAGTTGATGGATAGGGTGGTGAGAACTAATGACATTCCTAACATTTCAGTGCATTAAAGGTTGAGGGAGTTTTGTTACAATTAGAAAAAACTTTTCAAGTTGGAAATCTATAAGACATACCGGTATAAGAAGCCACAAAAAGTAAATCAGTAGTTCTAAATGTCTGAGTAAATTTTTCAATGCAGGTGCATGTAATGTTATTGTAAATAAGAGTGGTGAAACTTTACCATTTTTGTGTTGTGATGGTTTGGGTTCCTCTACATCAACATTCTGCAGTATTTCTAGATACTTTTCAGTGAGATACATGAATACTGGAAGAGAACAAAATCAATCCATTACACAAGGAAAAATTGTACATGAGATTTATGTTTCTATCAAATTCATTTGTGACAAAATATACAATAATTTGTTAATGTTTTGTGAAAATAAATTAACCATGGGTCTCTCAAATGCATGCAGGTGCAAACACTGAACTACTGCATGGGGTAATTTATTAAAACTGGCCACATCAAATGTTGTTTGACTATTTAACTCCCATGAGTGATTAACACTGTAAACAGGTTAAAAGAACTGACATGGTTATCAGCTAGCAGGTTTTATCTTGACATACCATATTTACCCATGTATAATATGCGCCCATGTACAATACGCACCCTGATTTTTGACCAAATTTTCCATAAAAAAAAGTTTTCACAGCAAAAAAAACGTTATTTCTTCCTACAACTGACGTTTTGCAGTGGTAAGTTTCATTACCATTTTGAATTTCTAATCGCTTGTGATTACAGTAATAAGGTACGATCGTAATGTTTATCTCGTCAGCTTTTTCTTAAATACTCTACTAAATTTATTCATGGATCAAAATTGAAAATGTTTCATTGGTAGATTATTTAACTCAAGCTAATAAAGACTAATTACTACGAGGCTTTCATTACTTTCTTTGTTGTGTTTGTGGATCGAAATTGAAAATGTTTCATCAGTAGATTATTTAACTCAAGCTAATAAAGACCAATTAATACTAGGCTTTTGTTACTTTCTTTCTTTCTTGTGTTTTTAATTTATGCAAATTAGGACGTGCTTGAAAAACAATAGAAACCGTGTATAATACGCACCGCCATTTTGATGGTTATTTTTATTGGAAAAAGTGCATATTATACACGGGTAAATATGGTACATGTAACACCAAATTCTCTTGTCTGATTTGTAAGGAAGTGTATACCAGTCAATCAGGAGAATAACTAGTTGGATCTTGAGACTACAGGGTTAAGTACAATGAAGGTATTCTGTAATGCAACACAGTTTACCTTAATTTTAGATTCTCTATTTCACAAGTTCAGATTAATGGTAAACATGTAACACCATCATGATCACATAAGACCATCATGGTGCTTTCTCTTGGTTTTGAACCAGTTACAATACAATGATCATTGTAATACACAAAAGTGGAAAACAAAAATGTAAATTCAACTCGTTTACTGTACTTTCTGCTTACCATCATTAACATTTAGATCCTCTTTCACAGAAGCTCGATAAAATTTTAACCTTAATCTTTTGGCTAGTTCATCTGCCTCTTCACTGCAACCAAAGCAACAAAGTACTACAAATTAGTGCCAAACACTAAAAGGCTAGCAAAAAAAGAAAAAATATATATTTTCAATCTAACCAGTCAATTGGGTACAATTATTACATGACTGTGCATTGAATATGAGAAGGTAAATAGCCAATGAGGCATGTAGCAGTGAGTTGGCTATGACCAATCTCACATCCAACAAATGCAAATGAAATAATTGTTGTGTTAAATTTCATTAAATCCTAAAAGTTTGGATATTTGACAAATTTTCAGCTTTGCAACACTAGGCTCAATGCATTTCCAAATAAGGTAACTCAGAATATGAGCTGATAACCAATCCAAATTGCAATATTTGGAGTTGAAAATTAAATAATTCCTAATATCCTTACTACACAAGCATCAATCAATTAAGACCAGTAGGTAGGAGGAGTCTTCTTGGTCTTTAACACACTAACTCTTAATTTCATTAGAGAATCCTCCCATCTATGTACCAAACATGAACATTTTGGCAGCGTTTGTAAAGAAGGTTTAAACTGCTAACTTCAAAAGACAGACTGCTGGTGATTTTTGCGCAAAATTGTTTAACATTAAGGAAATCTGGGGGAGAATAGATTGAAAGGGTGTCACACTTCCAGGAAATACTGGTCATCAGAAGATTTTCTATGTTTTCAAAAACATACTCAAACCTAATTTTTCTCACAGGAAAATGTTGAAGCAATACTTGGTACGCAGTTACAATAAATCAAGTAGCCTGAAAATTATAGGTAGACAAACTCACACTTTAACTAATGCTTGATCAATCAAATCTATTTTGTTTTGAACTAACACCATTGGTATATTACCACATTCATCTTCCACCTGAAAACATATGATCAATTGGATAATTGTTAACCATTTACATCCCAACATCAATATCTACACTCTCCTTACTATTCCTTATACATTTTCTAAGGTACTGATGAGGATAATTTGTTTGACAATCATGACCTTCTCTAGTTTGAAATAATTTTTTTTACTCTCATGACTTAAAGTTTGATTTAGCCCTGATGTTAGGAAGAGAAATTATATCCCAGTCACTTTTAGGAGTTAAAGGGTCAAATAAAAAATAAAAAGAAAGGTAAAGTTAACTGATAGTTGAACTAGCCTGGCTGTGTTTCCATACCATGAAGCTAGTAGGAGTGTTTCTAATCCCTTGGATAGGGAATTTCGTCAAGGATGAGCATTTCATCACCTTTCCTTGACAGCTAGCATGAACCCTAGAAATTAATACCTATAATCTGATGCCATTTCATGTCTGCTGAACTATTTCTCATGCCTGGCAGAAAAATTCAAGCTATCACAATCCTTGCCATGTGAAGTGTCAAGAACTAACATGTGAACATACTTATGCAGCTTATTATATCTGAACTTTCATTCTAGTCAAGGTTTTAAATCAAGACCACAAAACTGAATGCCTTGATGGTTGAGTATGATTGAGGTAATTTTGGACTCAAGCTTTTACCCTGTGAAATATTACACTTGCATCTCCACAGGTTCACTTTGACACTTCTCTATTCACACTGATTCAAAAGTTATAATATATTTTAAAGCAGTGTAAATATTAATTATTTCTAAGAACATACCTTTGTTCTCCATTTTTCGACAGCTTCAAAAGAGTCTCTGTCAACAGTAGAAAATACAATTGCACAAGCTTGAGCACCTGCAGTCAAGAAAACACAACACAATTAAGCCAGCCAAAAAAATTATTGTTGACAATCATCCTTGGCAAGTGAAAAGTCACAAGGGAGCACGAATGGTGCTGTCTAGTAATTTTCCATACAGTCCCTTAGTTAAAGCCAATCAAAAGATCTTAGAACCTCTGAGTCTAACCCTTAAAAACAAAGTTCAAAGTCTGTACTTTAAATTACAGAAAGAGTTTTATCCATTCAGGTTTATGGCCCAAGTGCACTGGCCATAAGGTTAAGAAAAGTTACTTCGTTTGTGACAACTGTCCAAGAAGTTCTGTATACCTCTAAGTCAGACTCAGATCCTAACCCCCCATAAATGGGGAGACCATAGGAAAAATTGGGCAAAGCTAGAGAAGTAAAGAAATGATCTATTTCCTTCTAAGTGTACTGCTCCATCCTAAGGGTCCGTTAAACATGTAGGCATTTGTTTGCTTTCTTTAATTTAAGATTCAAATGGGCCCAAAATCTACAATCACTTAGGAGAGTAACACTGGACTGAGTTAGCTCTGAACTATTTAACTTTGAGATTCTCTGAACACAATACTAGCTACAACCTGAGGGACTCCGAGAACAAACTTAGGGTTTGATTATCACACATAAATTATCTCAAAATAGAATCCCTCAGGTCCTTTGGCAAAGCTCTCTGAGGCATGGCATTCAAGAAGAACAGCTATAGTTAAATCCTTTTGTAAATAGCTGATGAATTGCGCGAGATAAGATAAAATTTATTGATTGATTAAAACTAGATTACAACATTGGGGAATATCATATTGGATCAAAATGACTGCTGCTACAGCTTTTCTTCCTAAAAAATTAGTCCTTAATATTTAATTGAATTGCAAGACCTGGACACTCCAACCCCTTTTGAGGGGAATTAGGGAGTATATTTTAGTGCTAAAGGTGCCAGCCTCAAGGGGGTTCTGGGGCATGCCTTTCCCAGGAAATTTTTCAAATTTAATTTCTCTCAAGTGGTATTTCCTGCATTTTGACATCATTTTGTGGTATTCTAGAAGGTTTTCATTCTTATCACATATATCGTGGAGCTTTTCTTTGCTATAGTTGATCCATCTTTTCAGAATCAAAAAGGAAAAATTATTTTACTACTTTTACAATAGCCACTTTGAAAGACCATGAATAATTGTAAACTTTCTGTCCATAAGGTATAAATGCATTCAGTGGGGAGCCACAAAAAAGATAACATATTTCCTTTGTCATCAGAATTTTATGATAAATCTGGAAAACCTGATAAAAATAGGGATAACAAGAGGCAACACATAAAATCTGGAGACTCCAGATTGGATCAAGAGGGTTGGAATGTCAGAAAACCCCCTTTTCTCTTTGGACCATAGAAAATTTCTGGCTTGAGTCAGAATTACAGATGTGGACCATTGGGCCAGATTAAAGTTACTGTATGCAAAATCATTAAGTTCTAGACAGACATTAAGATATCTGTTACAAGGCTAGCCCTTAAATCAATATATCAATTTTTTTTTAACCAAAAGGTGGCATAGCAAGAGCCAGCCTAATTAACTGCACTCAGATCAGAAGCTCTAAATATCTCCATGGAGGTTCAAGGTGAGACACATGTGGTGTAATCATTGAAAATATTACAAAGTGCATTATAGTAATCAGGAGATGACATTAATTGTTCACATAGGGGTCCTTTTGAAATTATGCAAATTTAGGGAGGATATTGGTTCTCTAAATGGTCAAGATGTTCAAGACAAAATGTGTCCGTGAATCTGCAAAGACTTGTGCAAATGATGCTGTCACATGCTTGACATCTCTAAAATTCACCAGACGCAGTGAGGCGGAAAGGATTTTAAACAATGATAGTAACTTCATTGTGTTCCATTCTTACGGCCCTTCATAAGGATTTGTTAAAACAAAGACTACGATCTTCATAAAAAAATCCCATTGTGAGCTCTTACAACAACCAAACATCCGCTCGAAAGATTTAATTATTTCATCTTCGATCGTCATTTTATTGTGGCAAAGCTGAATTTATTTTACGTAACAGTTCATTACACGAGAATTTATCGCAGTTAAGTTGCAGGGTGCGCCGAACAAAATATAAATAATTATATATATATATAAAAAAAAATCATCCGGTTGCTCTACATGCATATGGCTCATTTACTTTTAGAATTATTTCACTCTCTCAAGGAAATAAAAACATGACCACCCGAACTAGGATTTTAACTTATAATTTCGAAACGATGGAAAGTCGAAAATTTCCGCAACGATATAAAACAAGTGGGTAAACACAATTGCCAATCATTTTTAATACTCTAGAAACTGCAATTTAACGAAAGGTTTGCTGAAGGGATTCGTTGCTGAAAAGGGTATTAACTGTGATTAAGAAAACGACGCAAACTTTGGAAAATGTACCGCAGCAAACGACAATTCCACTGAAAAATATTCCAATATGCATCGTTCCTTGAGATCGATTGCGATCGACGAAATAAACAAATTCTTTTACCCGTGTACTTCAAAGTAAGGTTTCGAAAACCTGGAGACTGAAATGCCTATGTACAACTACCACTCATACCTGCAATCAATTACAAACACACATCGCTACCTACCTCGGTAGTAAGCCTTAGTTATGGCGTCAAATTCCTCTTGTCCGGCTGTGTCCCACAACATTAACCGAACGTCTTCGCCCCTAACACTGCAATGACACAAATTAAAGATCGTTTAGAGAGAACTCTTAGACCAACATCTTCGCCCATGAAAACCGGTGATTACTCTCAGTTATATACACTGCCGAAATATGCAAAGAATATTGGAAAATCACAAAACATTTATTACAAAATCACTGAGCGGTCTTCTCGTAAAGTGCATCAATACTCCTGAAGGCTCGCCCGACAGTTGATCACACACCCGTTCGCGTTGCTCTTCCTCACCTGATTTGCCTCTCTAAAAAGTCCACTCCTATCGTCTTTTTGTAGTCTCTGGTGAAAATACCTTTGCAGTATCTCTGAATCATACTACTCTTACCAACGGCTCCATTTCCTACAACCACGACTTTGATCGCAACTTCTACGTCTTCCTCGCGCATAATGGCCGACTAGGCGATCTCTAAACAAGTCCAAAGTTACCCAAACGTGAATCCAACGATAGACACAGATTAGCTCTTTCTCCTGTTAAAACCGATATCCTTCAAGATCTCGGCAGATGAAAGTAAATTTATTTCCGTTAACAAGACATCGCAGTCGAACGAGACAATCCCTGGATCAAGCGCGTGCACACCCTCTACTCGCTGCACGAAATGACGGCTCACGAATGTAAATCCAAAATGGAGTCGTTTCCTTTGCAAAACTCTTTTTGTTAGTTTTTTGAAAAGAGGTGTTATTGATAACTTCTGAGGAATTGGGCAATGGTGTCTAGCGACTTAAAGATGTGGATTTTTGGCCTCGTCTCGAACTGTACTCTCTACTGGAAGCATTATGGGTAATTTAGCTTGGTGTTGCTGTTGTTATGACAACGCCAAATTTTCGTTCTCTCCTTAATCAAGATATGAACATTAATTCACATTAATATGACCGTGTTTTTTTTTCCCGATCTGTTTTCAACTTCATATTTTACAAATTAATGGGAATTGTGGTTAGATATTCTGTGAAATGATTCGTTTAAATTAAAATACTTTTTGAGCGTCTATCAATTCGAGGCTCGATATTCAACCGGAAGAGTTGAGATTCAGCTGTTACATTCATTCTCTCAGCTGTTCGTTCGACTTAAGCTTGCCCACACAAAAACAGAATAATTCTGACAATAGAAGACTTAAAAAAACGCAGAGAAAATGTCTGAATTATATCCCATATATACCACATTCTTTCGTGGGTCAGTTGTTAAAGTGATTCTATAACATCGCGGGGGTCGCGGAAGGCATGAATTAATTGTATATCAGTCTTCTTCTTGAAATTGTGCGTCCAAAATCCTTCCGTCTTTTCTTTCACTTTGTCCTACAAATATGTCATCATTTTACGTCTATGGAATGTTATGGAGACCAAGAGGGTCTAGTCTTTATGAAAAACAGGAAGATCTAGTCTTGTTGGTCTTGACAACCAATCAGCAGCTGTTCAGGAAATGTTCCACGAAGGCTTCTCAGAAAAATCGACGGGCCTCATCTTCGGGGGTACTTCCCAGAAAAGACTCATGGGAATGTGCCACTGAATGGGGTCGCTATGTCACAACTGGATTGACTCTAATGCCGGTTGTATTTTGAGTAGAAATACAGGAATTGGCTCGTAATTTTTTTGGGATTTGGAGGGTAAGAAAATTCTGGTAAGAAAGGATTTAAAAATGGGAAGATTCGCGGTTAAAAATAGTTTAATTGGCCAAAAATTGAGCAAGACGGGGTCCATAATTGGCCACAAAATAGACTTTAATGTGGTAGGGGTTTTGAGAGGCCAGCGGCACATACCCCGCAAAAATTGACCCAATTACCCCCCCCCAAAAAAAAAAAACAAAAACAAAAACAAAAAACAAAAACAAAAAAAACATATTTAACCAAAGGGTTGTGTTTATGCGGTAGTTACTGGGAAGGCAGCATTTCAGCTCAGGTGTCCACTCTGAGGAAGGAGTGCGAGGCACTAGGGACTTTGAGAAGTAAAAAATGAGAGGAATTTCTTATATTTTAGCGTTTCCTTCCTCCTTTACGCGCCTACAGATGTTTCACACGTGAGCCGTGTAGATAGGTGGGAGGGGAAGGAGTGTCGAGCTCCGCAAACGACGGCTGCAAAGAAGGCGGGTTGAAGACAGTGATTAGTTTGTATTTTATTTAGTAAACAGTCATGACAATTAATGAGGTCTATCAAACCAGAATAAGGGCCGATGATGACCAAGCATGCCTCTGTTTTCGATCGATTATCGTGTACTAACAGTTAGGAAGAACTTTTGAAAAGATGAGGTTTTTATTCCTTTTGGTATTATGTTTGCTATCCTCTAAATCCTTTTCTTAAACCATCAATTTTTCCCTAACAAGTTTCCATGATCAAGTTCTCCTTTGCAGTGAAGATGTCAAAATGGTGACTTCAGCACTACATACACATACTTGATTTTTTGGGGGGTTATTTTCGATTAAGATAGAGCTCCGAGTGTTAAATCGTCTTACTTACTTACTTACTTAGTTGTTGTCATGTCTGAGTTCTTTTTTACGTTGTAGTCTTCAATTTAAACAATTTCTAGACACTTAGATTGAATTCCGGCAAGCGTGGGCTTACAGTAACAATAAGAACAAAACGCTAATTTTCTTCATTTCAAGTTGATTTAATTGAGTTTTCTGAGAGAAAAGCTGTGCAGGCGATCGAGTAGGGAGATTTTAAAGCGAAAAAAAAAATAAGGCGCGCTGATTTTTTCTTTTAATTTTCGATTCTTCTTATGTAGAACCAATCGAGAAAATCATTATTTTTTATTTTAATTAAGCGACACTACAACACTCATAAAACTTTTTTTCAGTTAATTGTCAGCCTTTAAATGAACATAAATACGTTCCATTCAGCTTTTTTAGTTTCCTGATGTTATGAATTAAAAATATTTCAACTGGACTTATTGCAGAGCTCAGACAGTGATAGAAATCAAGAGAGAGTTGAAGTCTCGAGGAGTGTTCACAGTCAACGAAAAGCTGTTTTTCTTTCAACAAATGTCGGTAGATTTTTTATTCCAAAATTTAATGAAGCGTTACAAAATTTTTTAACAAAATTTAATTTGGGAGGAATTTGAGAACGACCAAAAAAAATTCGCAAATTTTTGGTACTGTCACTTGCAGCTGCTGTGCAATATCGGTTATGCTTGATGACAATTGTGTATCTTTTTGTTATATTTTTTAAAAGTGATTCCAATTTCTCCCTTTCGCTTTATCATGATAGCATTCACGATGGTTTCATTTGAGATCAAGCACAGTGTGGGAGAACACAACCTCGCGTCTCGATTCCCACGCCGAAAAAGACAGGAAAAATGTGAAAAAAGTAAAATGACGCCTATGGAAGGGTTGTGTGGTTGAATTTTACTGAAAAAAAGTAAACTGATAACAAGGACGAGAGAAGTGATTCAATCATTAAGTTCTGACGGGATTTGCGGATCCTCCATTAAAACAATTTGACGCACGTGTCAGCGCCTTTCAGGTCAGCAGGATGTAGATTTAACTGCCTTCAAATGCCATGAGATCATAGCTCACTTGATTATCTTTGACCAATTGAATATATTTTTTTTGCATAAATCCTGATAAACCTTCACCGATAAGAAGTATAATTTTTTTATCACACAACTTTTTTTGCTAAAAAAAGTCGTGTAGATGAAAACGAAAAAAATTGACCGTCTTTATCTTTCTTCAGAGCGAAAAGGTATTTTCATAAACAGAAACACCTAGACGTCGTATTATGATCATTCATTTCGCTTTTCTTTGACAGATTTGAATTTCAATGCAGTCAAATCACCCCAAAGGAGAAAGCAATCTTAATTGACCGGATAAACTGACTAAAACATGGAGACCTAAAAGCTGTGTAGGCGAGGAATTTGCATAGAAATTATAAAATCTTGGCAAAAAATAACAGAGCCTTTATTTTAAGTTTTTGGCCGATTGTTTTCCGTCGTCACAATTTAAAAGGTAATTTTTTCGCCCTATCATCGTTTATCTGGAATCCAAAAATAAACCTTACTCTTAGTAACATGGCACTGATAAGAGGAAATTTCTCATAGACTATTTGCAAATAACACTTGGAAATTGAGTGAAAGCTCTCTGAGATAGTTTCTTTAAGATGGGGAGTCAACATGCAAGTTGGATGGGAAATGTCATAAACATTTGAGATGATAAATGCTTTGAAAACAAATTCGCAGCATTACGTATTCACAATCTGAAAGTTATCTCCGGCCACTGAGGTGTCGAATGAAAATAAGCCCGAGAAAAACGTCTTCTCTTAGACATGACCTGTGCTAAAACAAATTTTTACAACGAATAACACAGCCAATTAATGAAAGGTGGTCATGGAAAATTCTGTCGGTTTTTTGCACTTCAGAAAACACATCTTATGCTGCTTCTGTTAATGGAGTAAATTTAATTCCCGCCAGTTATGAAATATTTATTGATGTCACTTCTCTCCGACAGCCAATAAGATAGAAGAAGAACAAATGCCCGTGAGCGCTGTGTGAATTCATAATGAAACCACACCGGCAGTCACCCACATAACTCGGAAAAATTTCTGGTTCTCACCCTCACAATTTTGCCTTCGTTATCCATCTCGAAAGGTGTTTCGGTGAAATGTCATCTCAGAGAGAAGAAATGATTCTCTCCGATATTCTCAAGTGCTTTCGAGCGCCTTTGAGTGAAGAACAAGCTTGGGCTGTGTGTTATCAAAGCACTAAGGAGCTGATCGCCATTCAGAAAGAGAGCTTTGGGGCATTAAGACAGCAAAAAATCGACATTCAACTGTCGACGATTGAAATTCGCAAAGACGGTAGTGTTTTCTTCACTAAGATAGACGAATCGAACACGGTTCAACGAGAGTCTGCTGTCCTTTTCGACTTGGGAAGCGTTGTTTATGAGTGCCTAGACTACGGTATGGAGGCGTTTGTAGAGCGTGAACTCGACGAAGAACTCGAAAAACTCATTGTGGACATGACCAACTGTGATCACATTGGTGAAGGGGTTTTGATTCCAGACAACTTGAGCTTTGATCTACCGAGCCCTCGCGGAAGGTTGATATCGAAAAATGAAAGTGATTGCTCCGAAAAGGTTCAAGAAATCATGAGCTGTGATATCACGCTGGATGCTGTTTTGAATCGCTGTGCTAACCACCTGCCCAAGGACATTATCGACCCAGGTGAACATTTCCGCGCAGTGAGTCGAGCGCTTGTCAGCGAAGCAGTGGAATTGTCAGCATTTCTTCACCAACTCTGCAATGGACGCGCTCTTGTCGCTCAAACATGGGGACGTGGAGTAGGACCGACAAATTGGGCGTTCTTACAAAGCTTACAAGCGGCAGAGTGGGCCCAGTTATGGCTGCAAGTCATGAAAGAACTGCGACAGGGGGTGAGCTTACGGCGTGTTGATCAAGCCAAATTACCGCTCGTCACATACGAGCTGTCGCCTTACGAGATTCTCCTCCAGGACATTCGGAACAAACGCCACACTTTGAACCACGTCGACATCAATGCCATGGTGAAAAAAGACGCCCACGATGTCATTCTGGAGTTCATTCGATCCAGACCGCCGTTATCGAAGGTGAGCCTTCGTAAGATGAAGCAATATCCGAAGAAAAGTCCGAGCCAGTTTGATAAGTTATTAAATGAGATCCGATCACAGCCGAAGTTGAGGCCTGCACCTCGACCAGCCTTAAAGAGCGTGAGAGAAATCTACTTTGAGGAGAAGACTGGCGTTCCCTTAAACGAGACGGATATAGCACCACCTAAACGCAAATGCCTCAAACCAACAATCAAATTGACTGAGTTGATCAATCGCTGGGATTCCTCGTCTACTGTGGAGATAGACCCATCACCGACCATTAGCCGATCGGAAACACCACAAGTCACAATAGCTGATGAGGAAGATATCAACGAAGACAACTTCCTAAGCAAACCCGAAGAGATTTTTGGAAACGTGACTAGGAGGGTTAGTAACTCGAGTGATTCTAGCTTTTTGTCGCTCGATGACGAGGACTGCATCAAGAACAGAAGTTTCGCCAGCTTTGAAATGAGCGACCCCGAATGTGAGCCAGTGTTTCCACCGTCTCTCTACAACCTCCGTAACCTCGCCATTACGTCTAAGATCTACATGACCCTCAAGGAAGTGAAGCACGTACGTAAGACGTTAGCTTCGTTAGATTTGGGTGCCCTGGACCCCGAAGAAAAGCTCTACAAAGATTTAGCCCATGGGAGGCTGTGTTTTTGCTGTCAGTCCAGGAAATTCTCCTTATTTGGAAAGTGGTCGCGTGTTTGTGAAATCTGCGAACGTAAGGTCTGTGACTCTTGCATCCATGTCATGGAATCTTCATCTAGCTATATTTTCCAAGAAGAGGTAAATTTGAACCAAAGAGATTCCGGAATCGCTGACATGTCCTGGCCATTTGTTGGTTACCTAAGCTCAGGCGGAGAGTCTGACAACGGAAAATCGCGCAAGGTTTGCCTTGCTTGCAAACGATTCATAACTATGCATTGCTAATTATTTGATTCTAAAACTTATGGGTTGTATATGGAAACCTGGTGACATAGTGTTATCTAGAAATTACTAGATTCGCGACAGGGTAATTTAAAATGTTTATTTTGACCTCGTTATAAAATATTTAAATATCTGAAAAACTATACAGAAAAATTGGAATTCGACGACGCAGCTAATGCTTTGAGCTTTCATTTTGTCAAGGAGTCTCGCAATCGATAGACGAAAATGGATGTAAATCTCGCTGGAACCAAATAAGCAGTTATCTCTTGGACATTTCTACCCATAAAAGTTAATTTTATGTTATTAACCTGTAATACATTGAAATTGCACTTATAAGTTTTCTGTTCGTTAAGAAAGATACGGCAACACTGCATTCTGCATGTTGAGTGATTTTTTTGAACACTTGGTGGAAGATTGCTCTCCATGAAATATCCAATTGTATTCGCCATCCCGAGCGTACAAAGAAAAAGTCTCAGTTTTGTAATTGACATTTGAACTAAAAGGAAAACAAAATGAAATGTGTGAACTTGATAAAGAGTTTGTAAAGGATTACCCGCAAGGTTAAATTTTGTAAAAATGTCGATCGGACATTACAGAGAGTGGTTGAAACGCAAAAATAGTGCATGAAGACGCAATATGTAAATTTGTGGCAGTCTGTTCGAATGTTAATTCTTTAATTATAGATAGAATTGATTAAAGGTGTGAATATTGCTCTAGACGGAAGAATATCGTTTTCAATTTATAAAAAATTGTGCATCAATTCTGAAAGCAATCAATATTTCATGTAATCACGATTGAAAAAGAAATAATTACATGAACCATGGACAAGAGAACAGTTCTCTTGTTGTGAAAGAGTAAGATTAACCAGTTACTTAACAATTAAGTACGATATTTATTTTTTGTAAGAGAGCACACCGTGTGATCGTATTCCATTAATTTAAGATGCAAATAATGTATTATAGTATTGTGTAAGATAAAGACACAATTGGCGATGATGGCCAAGAGCTCCGCACTTGAGCGAGATGTGAATAAAAGAATTCTACAGAGTATGCCTTCCTTTGGCTCGTCTGGTATTAGTTATTGGTCACCCCATAGCCAAATTAATAGAAAAAATAAGCTCTATCTCTGTATTCAAGGGACAAGGGGAGGGGGTGAAAGAAGAGGGAGGAGGGGTGGGAGGGGGAGAAGAGTCCTTCTGGTAAGCGTTTCTCGTGCATAATGGTTGGGATTAAAGTTTTTGACTGGGAGTATTATTATCAGTAGCACTGAACACTCAGAACGCTTTGTAAAGAAACTGAGAGAAACTGTTTATTCTTAGCAAAAACATTTTTAAATCAAAAGTATGGTAATCATCTTTTAAGACTGTTATGTGTGTCCTTGTAGGACTCTTACAATTGTGCTTTCAAATTTATAAACTGCTCGACGCTTGACTTATCTTAATTTTAAACACGCTGAAAAAGGAGGGTTTCATGTCTTATAAAAAATAATTTGAGTTTCCGTCTTGAAAAAAGCGAATGAAGAATTTCATACCAATTTCAATACACTGTCACAGAGCGTCTGTTGTAGCGTATGTAAAGCTAAATTTCCTGTCAGAAGTTAGCAGAAAAAGTTAAATTTTTTTCCACCTTTAAAAATGCATCTTTGCAGATAAAATCACTTAAGTGAACAGTTTCTGAAAAAAAAGTCTACGTCTGCTTGGTTTGACAAATAATCTTGTACAAAGAACGTAAACTTCCCTCAACTTTCTCAAATTGGGTGTGCAGTTCATTAGAAATGTCCTGTCTTAGACGAAAACACATAACGTGTTTGCCTTACTGATCAATCTTGTTTTTTTTTTCGCATTTAGGGTTCTATCCCTAGAGGGAAACAATAGACAGTTTCGAGCTCTAGTCCAGTACATTCCGTCACAACCTACAACTATTCGGTTGTACTTTACTTTGGCCAATTTTCAAAATTGAGGGCCACGTTATCGCCCATCCTCACATCCTCAGTCAAAGCCGTTGTTTCTTATCCACATCCTGGTCTTGTGTAAGGATTCACTGGCACTTTCACTGCGGAACATGTGTTCGTAAAAACAAGTTATGGGCTGCTTTGTGATTGTGCCCTCCGGGGCCTACCGTGTCACTAACACCGAGCGGGCACCGGATCCTAAGAACGCTCGGGCGATTCCAATAACTTCCTCGACTCTAATCAACAACAGCTAAGTACCACCAGTTTCACGTGCAGCTGAATTCTTGAGATGTCAAACATCGCCAAAAGAAAGTATTTCTTGTGGAGTGAAGTTAGGGGGAATATTAGAAGAAAAAAATACTCTCTCCCCTTTCAGCATTGCCATGTGCAGCAATATGTATTAGACTCACTGACCCTATTGTTTGGCGTACAGCCTGCTTTTTTGCGCGATCTCCCATCAAGGGCGTCACGCCGAGAAGTAGATCTTCCAACAAGGTCAGCCTCTCTTCGTGTGCATGGTAATGGTGGTATAATCTTGCGTCTACCATTGTACAGTACTCCGCCAGCCTCAGGATCAACTATTATCAGTGTTCCAGTCTGACGATGATAGCCTGGAGGACTTTCCTGAATGGGCTTCAGAGTCGTCAGAGAGGGAATTAGTCGGATTCTGAATGGTTCTGTTGGCTTCTTGCCTCCTTCGTCTTTTAAGGCTGCAAATGGAACCTGGTTCTTACGGAAATCAGGGACGATTATGATCTCGGCCCCTTTCAGTAAATCGGCCATAGGAGCAATAACTATCACGAAACAGGAGTCGGAAAAAAATCCAGTAATCTCATTTCTGTCCAGACTAACTTTTTTCTGTAAAACTGATAGCTCCCGATGCTCTCAGAATCCAAAGCAATACATCTTCGTCATTGACCTAAGTGTAAAGGCCTGTTCACCTTGTGACAATCAATTGGATGTAACACCATGATTGCGGATTGCTTGAGATCTGCTCTTTAATTGAGTAGAGAGCAAGGGTGTTTTCTGGATCCAGTTTACGAGTAAGCAATTTACTGAGCAACTTTTAAGGAAAGCTGCCGTGCTCCTCTCAAAGAAATCATTAGAGGTATGCAGGGTGTTTGGTGATGGTCTCCTGAACGTGCTGTGACAAAAAAAGTTCGAGATAATATGGTGATCACGCTCATGAGAACAGGTTGGATCCTGTTTCGTTGGCAATATACTTTTTTTCAACGTAGTTCACACTAAAACTAAAAGATGGCATGTTTTTTCTTTATTTCAGTGTAAAAAAAAGAGAGGAAAAATGCTTGCATTTTTGGCCTTTTACTGACGAACCACGAGGGATTGTTGACGCCATTGTCCCCATGAATTAACACAAATACAGGTTTATCAGAGTTTACATTTTCTGTTACAGGTTGCTACTTATACAAGATTGCTGTATGTGCAAACGGGGTGATTTTTCTTTACACAGTAAAAAATTAAGCAATATTTTGCTGACTTAGCGATTTTTTTGGAAAGCCCTAACGACATCTGCAACTTTTGTAGTTTATTATGATGCTAATTCAACCACTTGATCTTGACCTCCGTGGCGTTTTTACACTTGAAAGATGTTGTTGCTTTTTCTAATTTGACGCTTGTTATTTGTACTCGTATTTATGATTTCCACACGCCATTGTCTTCTTAATGTCAAGTTTAATTTAGCCACTCGAGGCACAGTAAACATTACATTCTTGTAAAACAAGAATGTAATGTTTACTCTTGTAAACCCTTACATTCCTGCAGTAGGGGCACGTATGAAATGAAATGAAATGTCTGGCTTCTAAAAAGCGCGCATTTCGGCAGCGACATTACAAACTGAACAAATGACGTGTTTAGTGCGAGTATGTGTTATGAAAGCAAACTTGATACGTCACTCTTGTTTTCTATTCTAAAAGAGCGCATTTGCAGTAATTAGCCAATGGTTGGAGGCGGCGGAAAGGGGAGGGGACAGGAGGGGAGGGAGAGCTACTCCGACACAAAAAAGGAAACCTCGGAGACTTTTTCATTTCAACTATTAGTTTTAAAGGTTACTGGAATGGTAGATTAGCGTTTCAGTTTGAAAAGTTCCTGCAAATTTTGCTAGAATCTGAGGTGGAAGCCGATATGGTTGCTGCTAAGCTGTCGCAAATGAAATATCAACGGGTAGATTTCATTTAAGGGCTCGTGAAGCCAACATCTGGTTACTTGTTACCAACCCAGTAAGTTGCTACGCATAACGGGCCTATTTTTCCCATGTTCACGCCTCGTCACCTGAGTGAGTGTAAAGGAATGCAACTCTAACAGCTATTTTGGATCTTGTGGTCGAGGGAAAAGTTTCAAACAACAAAGCCGTAATCTCCAAGGTAATCTCTTTTTTTCGCCATTGTTTTCTTTATCTGAGAATTATATGCATAATTAAGTATGGGGCTGCCCAGAAAATCTGCTTTGTTTAGTTTTATAAAATTTTTCTCTTCGGATATCTTTGGATATATTCATAGTCAATACAGTAAATATTGTCTTTTAGAACCGGCTTTGGTTATATTCATAGTGAATACAATACATATTGTCTTTTAGAACGGTTTTTTTTTTACAACACCGAAACTCTCAAGGCATGTGTTTGCAATGCAATTTTCACCCGCAATCTTTCTTCCCAGCGAACTCAAAACAAACTACGAAATAATTTGACGCCCACCTTGAACTTAAACTGTGTGATGCGTCTATTAAGCAGAGGCCGTCGAGGGAAGAAACTTCTTTTCGTGAACAAGTTAACAGTCCACGTTCGATGTCATCTGCGAGCTTCTTGGCTCCCTGCTAGTCCCTCGCATCTCTTCAATTCCATGTGAATATCATTGAAAGAATTGTGCTTCTCAATCGTAGCCAGTATACTTGTAATGAAGTGTTATCGTTTGTTTCACCGCGAAGTCGCAATGTAGCTTATGCATATGCAATGAAGTTTGGAGCCTTGGGTCAAACACGAAATAATAATGCGTTGTCTGCACCCTTTTTGGTTTCCTTGTAATTTGGCAAAAACTAAGAATGAAATCAATAAAGAAACAGGGGAATTAAAGCTCTGGTGCGAATATTTTAATCTTCTTGTTCCTCCTTGATCAAACTGACCAGTTGTCATGTTATCTATCTTTTTAATTGAAAAATAAAGCTTCACTTGTTTAAAATGCACTAACTAAGTGTGTTTGCTAGATCGCCTGCAGTGCTCGTGGGCAATATGCGAATACTACAAATACTGTGTTCTG